ATGGGTAACCGACTGTACCAAGGCAGATCTTCCAGATATGGTGATATAACTGATTTCATGGATCCTGAACGCATTGACCTTACTGGGCCGTCGACCCTGCTGCAATAGGAAATGCCATAAAACCCACCATGACACAGGCGAGGACGCGGAACCACGGGTCGTTACCAAGTTCCAGGGGACCACTAATTATTTTGTATGATTTTTTTATTATGTAATCGTTTTTTGTAAATGAAAAGTCGAATTTTCGTGAAGCTATATCATTTACCCATTGTCTCGCATTTAAAATAAAAAGCAAAAAAAATCGCACATCTATTGCACCTAGGCACCATCTCAGATGGCTTAGGGCAACCATTTAGCACCTAGGCACCAAGTGAGATGGTGCCTCCTCTTTAGTTTTAGGTTCATGCGCCAACTGGGTTGGCTCCTCCTTTGTGGGGTTTTCTGAAATATGGTTATTTGTGTAATTTTCCCCGAAACCTGGTTATTTGTGTTTTTTTTCATTACCTGGTTATTGCAAAAAAAAATTCTTAAGTATCCATCTTAAAATATACAAATATATTAATAAGGGTTAAATGCACTTTACCCCCCCTGCAATAGTAGCGAGTTTTGATTTACCCCCCTTTTAAAAAAAATTTCTTTTTGCCCCTTAACAAATATTGATTCCAAAACAGAAAACCTTACCGCCCAAGATTCCCTTTGAATTTCTGACGTGGCCTGTGACACTCTTGCTGACTGTATAATTAAATGTCACATTGACTTTTTTAAAATATTTTTATTTAAGAGACTTGGATCCTAAATTAAATTAATTATCAAAATATATTATTTAGGCTTAAGCTCATTTTTGATTTACTTGATTAAAGGCCCATTTACCCATACATGTCCATTTTCAATTCATTTAAAGTTGTGTTTCTTTGTTATATAAACACTATTTCTATTTCTATTACAAGCAATGTGGGACTCTTAAAATGTAGAGTTTTTGTTAAAGTCAATGTAGAAGGAGAAACTTTGGTTACAAAAGCTGTGATTCCTAGTTTGATTAAGAAGAAAAAAGGAGCTGTTATAATTTATCAAATCCTGTGAAAAGAATCAGAAAGTGTAGCGGTAAAATCAATGAAGTCGCCACTGAGTATTTATTTATCCCATATAAAAGGGAAAGGAAAATCATCGAAGAAAAACCTAAAGGGGAAATCAAGGTCTTGCAGCCGAGAGATTGTGTAAGGGAGTCAATTACGCGAGGGGAAGGTATTAGAACCCCACACGTCCGTAGTACTCTACGGGATCCACTTTTGTTGTTCTAATCAAAGGGTGTGTTCAATGTAATGCTTAAGAGTTATAAACTAAGAGGGAATGCATGTAAAGAAAACACGGGGAAAAGAAGGAAATATTTACAAATTTTCGCTCGACTGAGCCCCATGACCAAATGCCTACGTATCCCTTTTAAGGAATCAAAGCATCGTAGTTTGGCTCACATATTTTGTTTGTTTGTATTTTTTAAATGAAAAATGTTACATTCGATCATTCTACCGCTGCTCGATCTTTGGAGACTTACGACCTGTAGTGGAAAGGAACTAACACGCTCTTAGAAGAGAAAATCTGAATGGCGAAAATAAATGGATTTGTTGGTATTTTTTACCATGAAAAGAATTTTTGTATGCTTAGCATTTTTTTATACATTTGCCAAGAAAAAAAAGTTTTAGTTTTAATTGCAATTATACAAAAATGGGAAGAAAAAATCTAAGGGAGACTAACCTATCTCTAACCCAATGTTATCATACAATGAGGGAACCTATCTAAGTTAGCACGCCAAAGAAAGTCTAACAAACTATCCTATAGGGAACATACAATGAGAGCGAAGTCGTGATCTCAATTTCTAAATTGAGTGACTCATCGATCAACAAGAAATAAAGGAAAGTGATAAAATGCTATAGGGAGCATGCACTGAGAGTGAAGTCGTGATCTCAATTTCTAAATTGAGTGACTCATTGATCAACAACCAAGGAAACAAACATAAGCACGACACATATAAAAAATGAAGTGCGGAATGCCTGGTACAGGTCTTTAAACAGTGACTTCGAGCGCACGCTCTTTATTTCCCACTTCTCATGATATCTAGAAAGCAATAAAATTCGGAAAAATACATTGGAAGCAATATAATACCAAACGAACAATAATGTCCGCAAAAGCGCAACTGAAGAAAAGAAACCCAGAATACTTCACGCGAGCTGTCATCAACAAATAAACAGTCAGGGATCGGATATTCGGAATAGGTGTTGAAGCTTCATCGATGTGAAAATAAATCATAATCAGAACCCAAACACATCCGCATATCTAACAATGAACCTGCATAAGACTCAACTCAACAAGCGAAGGTGAATCACAACTTTCAAGTAATCGGATAACCATGATTTAATTCCTAAAATCAACTAAAAAAGGTCTAACACATTTTTATATTTGATTTTATTATTATTATTATTTTTTTTTTATCATGTGAAAGAAAAAGTTCAAACAAATCTAAACAATTTCACAAAATTATTCAAAAGAAAATACGAAAAGAATAAACTCAGGGGGTGTAAGGCAACAACCTAGGGGTGCAGGAGCAATCTTGGTGCTAGGGCCTATTAACAACGAGTCCAACTAGCTATTTGCAACATGACTTGCTGGCTTCAATAAAAAACGCCAGTGGGCTTAAGGGTTTCAGTCCATTGTCAATCCAGTAGCAAAGAAAAAAAAACCAAAAAGGGCATGGTGTAATGGACCTGGGAGAGGTATACCCGCATGAATTATTTCAGGGCCCATGATTTCACATACTAATCCATTTCCAATCCAATTTACACTTATTTTAATTATATTACTTTTGCAATAAAAAAATAATAATAATCATGTAAATCAATGAAACGGTGTAGTTTTGTAATCTAGGGTTTAAGTTGCTATCACTCTCCGTCTTCTCTTGAAACATGACTTCTTCCTCTTCAAACTTAACAGACAGAGATCACCATCTCTCGCCTTTGTGGATTTCTCCATCCATCACCCCATCATCTCCGTTCGACCTTCGTATTCCTCCCTTTCCTGTCTCGATCTCTCTTCATTTCTGTCAACACATCACCACGACCACCACCGATTACCACCACAAACAACCACATCGTCTTTATCTCCCATACCCCTAATCGCTTGCGAGCCAGAACTCACCTTCATAGATCTTAACCTTATTTCCGCATCTAATAGGGAAACTAGACCTAGTCTCGCGATGTAACAAAATTAGACGTTCTTCGTCAAGATTCCAAGCCGCTACTATGGGGATAACGCCTAGGGATCTTTAAACAGTCGAATAATGCGAAGAAAGTGATGAGAAGTTTACGACATACCAACCTACGAAGTCGAGAATTGCTTTAGCATTCGTTGTGAATATTGAAGGCAAAGACAAAACAAAAGAGAAAGCCAAAAGTGTGATTCTCAAGTATGCCTTACAATTTCTTGCTTCTGCAACATTAACTCTTCTTCTCTTCTCCGATTCCTTGTGATTTTTGCATTTTTTATGATATTGTTATTGAAATCATCGTTGTTACTGTGATTGTGTTGAAGTTGTTGATGATTATTATTGATTCGGTTATGGAGATTACATTGATGCCGAGAAGTTATGCGGTTGTTGTGATGTTGTAGATGAGTGATGCACAAATATGATGAAGGATTGAGAAGTATGATGAAGATGTAGATTGGAGGTGGTTAAAGGTGAATCCTGAAGCTTTCTTGATGATTGAAGTGCAAAATCCGTTATTGAGCCAGAAATTCCAGGTTTAATACATGAGAGCGATACTGAGATGTATCAGAGAATCAAGATGAAGAAGAGAGGGAGAGTGCAGAGTTGAGGATGATGATTGTAGAGAACAAATTGGTGGATTGAATCAGAGAGAGAGAAATTTTCAGTGGTTTTCTTGGTGAACGACCGGTTCTGGAGAGAGAGCAGAGGCAAGATGAATATGAGGATTGGGGTGATTTTTCAGAATTCTTGAAGAATCCAGAGTGCTTGTAGAGGGAGGTTAATTTTTGCGGTGGAAGGTTGAAGATGACAGAGAATGGAAGCTCAAGATCACTGATATAGTAGAAAAAAGGTCCCTCTTGCAAATTTTGTTATCTGTTATATATCAATACCCCCCCCCCCTCAGTTCTGTTACGATTCTGTTATATAGGTTCTAGTGAGAAGCTCCTAGTTGTTAGACTTTTGAGAGTTTGTTATGGAATGGAGGGTAGAGATTAGGTGGTTAGGAATCAGTTAGGAGTTTGTACTAGGTTGTTAGGCAAATGCAGTTAGACTTTATTTTTTGTTTTGGTTGTTGTGAGAAAGTTAGTTAGGGAATTGCTAGAGATTATTTTTTTTTGTTTTTTGTTTGGGAATCAGTTAGGAATAGTTATTTAAGCTAGCAAATTTGGTTATTGAGTTAATGGTTTCTTATTTTTTTTTGAATTTCAATCTCCTTCACTTACAGTCTTCTTCTATTATTTCTGTTATCGAATTACTGCACACACGAAAAACTGTTATGCAATTGGCCCTATTTCGATTACAAATTGATTTCCTCCGCTAAGTTGTTTGTGAACCTAATGCAGGGAGTTTTACGAGGACCGACTTTGAATTGCCTTCTCGGAACTTATTTATCAGATGAACTGCAGTTTGGTCATTTGATGTAGGCTGCTAAACTATTTTTTATTGAACTTGTAGATTGTTGAACTGAACTATTTAGTGTGTTTATGAATATGGCAGGGCTGAAGATAATCGTGACTGGAGAATCAGTTTCAACGAACTAGATTCAGGTAGAAATTGGTTAGAAATTATTGGTTCTAAAACTTATGCTAATATTAAGAACTGATATGCTGTTAGAAGTTCTGTTGTGTGACTACATCTTCTTTGAATTTTCTAGTTTTGGTAGCCTGAGCTATTTTGAAGCATTTTCTATTCTTTTGTAGAGAAACTAATATAGTTTTACGCATAGGTGCAGGGCTGCATATGTTCAGTTTTGTTTTGGACTAATGATGTGCATTAAATGAGAAGGGAATTCAGGTAAATCAGATTCTTTAACAGGATCAGGATTATTTGATTCAAGACCATCTTTAACGAGCCTGAAGCCAAATGTCAGTAGATCTGGCAGCAACACGTCCATAATTGACGTCTGTAGAGCAGCCTGGATAGAATCCTTGATATTTAAATCTCCAAAATTATTGCGTCATGAGTGCCAATGAAGCTTAATCCTAGATACAAGATTCCTGATACAAGCATTCAGTTTGGCTTTGCTGTACAGGGCTGTTATGCAGGAATTTTCTGAAGGAAGCATGAAGAAGTTTAGGCATAGTGCAAGCAAGGTTGAAGTGAGAAGAAACAGAAGTAGGATGGAAGATTAGAACTAAGTTTTAGGAGGATCTTTTTATGAGATTTTCTTTGTAATTTTGAAGTGTCATATGATATAGAGTCTTGTATTGGTAGTGAGCTTAAAATGCCTTCTTATCATGTACTTATGTAAGGATCCACATTATAAGCAGTCCTGACTTTTGGAAACTTTATGATATTTTAAGGTTTTAATGATGATAATCAAAGTATTCTTCATTGTTAGCAACTTGAAGGGATCATGTGAATCTAAATTTAATTATCCTATTTTTCAAAGTGTCTTCATGTTGCATAGGCTCGATTACCTCAAGTATCCATTCATACATAACTTGTGAGGTAAATCAACATGACTTGATATTCCACCAATACGAGCCCCATTGAATGGAGAAGTATCCATGAGCCTTGCTTTGAAATGAACGGACAATGATGGATTGGTACAGAATAGACTTTGAATCCATTTAAACTAGATGACATTTCTTGAACAAATCTCTAAATCATCTCCAACGAGACCTTAATTCTGATCTTCAACCTGTGGTAACTTGTAATACCAACACTAGGCACTTTAAGATAACCATAATGCTTTGAATTATCCTTAGATAAGAGTTGAGGTGCGGGGAAAAATACCACCAAGATAATTTCAATATGAACACATTAGTTCAACGAACCTCAATATTTAATTGAACCACCGATTTGAGAAGCACCCAAACCACGTCAAAAGTTTGATGAAATCCAAATCCATAGTTTCACAACAAAGTACATCTTGATTTGATGAAACCCTCAACCAATCCTTAACCATTTAACAAATAGCATCACAAGAAAGAAGTCCTTGATTCAGTCTTCTAGACTTCTTAAAAAGAATGTCTATTGGGGAAAGCATTTAGGAGAAACCCTAATTATTGCTCTTTGAAAAATCTTGATGAAGATAACTTTGTATCCTGAAGAATTTCGTCAGGGAAGACGTCTATGATGCTGGAAATTCAAAACCCTAATATTGTACCAAGAATGATAAGAGCACTAGTTGAATCAACATGAAGAATGTAGCAACATTAGTCCACAGAGAAAAAACCCTAATGCCAAAAGTCCTATGATCCCGTAACCATGGAACTGATGATATGCATGAGATGTATATGATATAAGGAGGGATCTTAGAGGCAAAAATTGGGGTATAACAGAAAGGTCAGACCATTTATTTTTATCTTCAAAATAAGTTGAATACTCAAATTGATTATTTTTTCAATACGTGGGTATTTGATATTGGGGACTTAATAGTGCTAAATACGAGATAAAAACTTACCAAACCACCTTAAAAATATAGCCAAGTGCATATTCTGATGGTATACACATGTAGAAATATGTTAGCCATGTTATATTTCATATTGACATATTATCAAATTATGAATAGTAAACATTTTAATGTCAGTTGAATTACTACATAATACATATAATATATGATTATAAGTAGTTTAAGAAATCACATATTGCAAAAATAAAGAAGATGGTTGACTCAACTGGAGGTGTTGTTTCAGAAGCAACTTTTTCTATCCCTGCAGAGTTTGACATTACAGACAATATTTTCCTCCATGATGATGTTTGTTTCAAAAGTTTTATCTTGTTTCTCTATATTGTATTTGTGTTGTCTTAATTCTCAAAACAAAACATAAGTGAATAGAGATCAGTATGAAGACAAAGAGAAAGTGGCTGACAAGTTTGTGTTTGAAGATGTTGTTTTGTTTTGGAGTGTTAAATGTTTGTAATAGGCAACAAATGTATATATGATATGAAAACAAAAACTCTACATTTTAAGAGACCCACATTGCTTGTAATAGAAATAGAAATAGTATTTATATAACAAAGAAATACAACTCTAAATGAATTGAAAATGGACATGTATGGGTAAATGGGCCTTTAATAAAGTAAATAAAAAATGGGCTTAAGCCTAAATAATATATTTTGATAATTAATTTAATTTAGGATTCAAGTCTCTTAAGTAAAAATATTTAAAAAAGCCAAGGTGGAATTTAATTATACAGTCAGCAAGAGTGTCACAGGCCACGTCAAAAATTCAAAGGGAATCTTGGGCGGTAAGATTTTCTTTTTGGAATCTATATTTGTTAAGGGGCAAAAAGTTTTTTTTTAAAAGGGGGGTAAATCAAAACTCACTACTATTGTAGGGGGTAAAGTGCATTTAACCCTATTAATAATTATCATATTGATAAAACCTCAAAGAAAATGTTACACAAATAGAAATAGTAAAAGCATCTTAATTTTGAAACCCTAATAAAAAAATCTCAAAAAAATATGTGATCAACATGTAAAATATTGATTTATATAATTGGAAGATCAAAAGACTCTAAATAACAAAAAAATTAAATTAAATTAGATATGAGAGATTATGATACCACTTTTTAGATTTGTTTATAAACCTTATAATTTATATCAATATATAAATCAAGAATAAAACTCTAAATAAAACTCTTAACTCATATCTGAATACAATTATGAGAATGAAAGCAGAATCCGTAGAATTCTTTATGGTTCATTGATTCTCCTCTGATGGAAATGAAGAGAGAATTCCTAATAAACCATTTTCTCGTTGTCTACAAATGGAGACCATAACCCCTATATATAATCTTAGGTTATTTCTTAGTTTTTAATATTCTAATTTGGCCCCTCATCAAATTAGATATTGACTTATGATATCTACACAATAATATTACCTTTCATGATATTTATGCTTTTAGCCACAAAATTATTATTAATTAGACTACTACAACTTTAACTAATTAAATAATAACCTTAACACATGTAACATTACAATTGTGACTCAAATATTCTAATATTTATATGCCACATTGTGATACGGTGGGAGAACTGACTTGGGTATTTTGCGTTTTATTGCAATTGTTGCGGATAGCAAGAGTCACCATCGAATTTTCTTTTATCCAATAAAGGAAATGGTGAAAATAACAGGAAAGACCTTTTGAGATATTTTCTTGAGTTCGGGGGATAGGTTATGAAAAGGGAAGGTGTTAGCACCCTTTTCATCTGTAGTTATCTACAGGCTCTTAGTTGCTACCTCACTTTGAAATGCTTTGTTTGAAATATGTTTGTGATGTTTTTGAAAGTATTTTAGAAAGTGCCTTTGTTTAGGCCAACTTTGTAATGATTCTCGTCTCTATAAAAATGTATACAAAATGTTGACTTTTGAAAATATTTCATGGAAAGTGTTGGTGTGTTTGAAAGATGTTTTGAAAATGGTTGTGAGCGAGCAACTACGAGCGTTCTACTTACTCAAAAAAAGTCTTTGTGCATTTCCTCCTCCTTTAGATATTGCTATCTTACCATTGATTGATAAGAAGCCCTATCATGGGATGTGAAGGGACGGGCGCGAGTCGTCGTATAGTCATATAAGGCAACATTGTAGGATACCTTAGCAATTTATCTTAAGGGTCTAAGATAGTTTACCGAATGCAACATTGAAGGGTCATCGAGGAACTACGATCTTGTATTCGAGGGTCATTGCTAAAGTATCCCACGTTCGAGGGACATGACTGTTTTATTCTAAGGCAACAAGTGTGGGTTAACCTAGAGGTGCAAGTGTGCAAAGTGTTTTGATTACATACATTTTGTCTTTGAGATTAGGGTTTTCTAATGATTGATTTTATCTTTCCATACAAACCCTAATTACTAGCAATAATATTGAAAGCAATAAATTGTGGGAATTTAAAGTTATATGCTATTACATCATTTTGGGGATGGGGATACAAGTTTATGAATGAGGGATGGAAGCAATAAAGTTATAATTATACTATTACAACCATATTGAATATTTAATAACAATATCTAAAAATATAAAGATAATGTAAAAAGGAAGGAAAGTTGTTTAAAAAAACTTTATGCATTGACACATGCACTTATGCATCAATATATATCATCTCTTGCCCCTAGAAATCAAAACTAACTCAGTATGTATTGATGCATAATGGTTTGCATCGGCTCATATATGTTTTGCATCAACACAAGCACTTATGCATCGATACATATTGTTTTTTTTGCTCCTGGAAATCAAAACCAATTCAGTATGTATTGATACATAATGGTTTGCATCGACTCATATCTGTTTTGCATCGACTCATTCGTGTTTTGCATCGACTCATACATATTCCATCTCTCTGTAACATGTCTTGATAACAATATTCATTGATTCATAATGCCTTGTATCAACTCATAACCTGTTTTGTACCTAATATGTATCGACTCATAGAGATATGCATCGACTCATACTGCTGTTTTTTACTTCTAACATTGTTCTGTCACATATATAAGTCAGTTCTCAACACATGGTTAGTGAAAATGAAAAGTAAGCATATAGTTAGCTCCAAGGCTATTATATCTACATTTTATCTTCACAAATAAACCACTAATGATGCTTGTATGAAGAGTTCAAAGTCAAGAAAGCTTACCTTGAAACTGGAATTCGTGTTTTGATTTAGAGTTTGAGAAGTCAAGTTACATGTGGCTGTTTTTGGGCTTGGAAAATGGTGATGAGGATGTAAAAAAAGTTGTTCTTGTGTTTGAACAACTACTATATGATGTATGTGGAGTGTTTGGATGGTTTGTTTGGACAAAACTTGCAAGGTGTGAGAGGTTCAAAGATTTGGACTTTAAAGCTCAAGAGTGGAGGTTTTGTGGACAATTATTGTTTTTTGAGAGTATGAGGGGTTTTGAGAAACTTGTCTACACAACAAAAACTTATGGCCTCTTTAGCTTACAAATTACTTCTCTATTTATAGAGAAAAAGGTTTGGGAAGTTGAAGTAATAAAATTGAGCCTCAAAAGTATCTCGTTCTTCCTTAAGCTGAATCCATCCTTTTTGCAAGTCTTCGAGAGAGGTAGGCATGTCAGGATGGAGGATAGTGTAGGGAACATCTCCTTCGACCACAGGCTCCATGATGACTGGTAGGATGGAAGGATAAGACATCACAAGTTTCTGAGCACGAGCTCGCACCCAATTAAGGTAAGGCTCGAGGGGAATGGGATTCTTGTGTCCTAGTGTCTTACTATCCACCTTGTTCAACATCCTCCAAGCTCGGATAAACCTCTGACAGTAACCTTAATCGTCATTCTCATAGTCAAATACCACTCCCTGGATAAGCATCTCATGTGGACCATCCCTTTAGGCGTAACCAAACTGTCGTAAGGCTAAGCAGGGGTTGTAAGTGATACCTCCTCTAATTCCAAGTAAGTGGACATCAGGGAATTCTCCACAAGGGTCGATGATAGTAACATTCTCCAAAGATCAGGAACACCAATGAATATCTGAATGTCTGAGCATCATCAACCTATGGGACCACCTTAAACCTTGCTCATTCTTTAATACAAATTTGGGAAGATGCA